GGGTCAGGGGTTCACTGTGGAGTGAAATAAGGCTCTAAAATTTTTCTTCATATCTAAAATCTCTCCTCCAAGATGGGAATGCTCAACCTTATTCTCCACACTACACTACCCCACCAAACCTCACTCCCTTTCTTCACTTCCCTTCATAATTAACCCTACATTGAAGCCTTTTTAGTTCCTTTTCCTTGCTAGAAGATAAGTTTTCTTCTTCTTTTTTCTTTCTTTTTTTTACCTTAATAGCTTCATGAATCTCCTCCCTCCCCAAATTAGTCAATTTCTACAATTCAATTTTCTCAAGACTAGTGCAGTTATTGATCTTCTCATCCACCCTTTTATCACTATTATCAGACAACTTTCTCACCTTCTTAACTACTTCACTAAACTATTCATAGCTCGAGCAACCACCAATAACTACAACCAATGTTTTTGTCTACCTTCTGGAGAATAAAAAGGCCTCTATCATCAATTTCAAATGACACCTCAGAACCTCGAAGCTTGATCCTACCCTATTTCCAGCCCCATTTCAAACCCCAGACTCCCCTCCACCCCCTGCAAAATGGGGAGTTCATATGAAAAATCCACCGCCCGTTCCTCAAATCACTTCTACCTCTGCTTCCCCTTTCAAATTATTCCTCCAATCACTAGAGAGAGAGAGAGAGAGAGAGAGATCTAAAAGAATGTGTTATATAAAAGTTGGCCACATGCAAAACGTAACTTTAATTTAACCCTAATCTCTATTATCTTCTCCTTTTGTCTAAACCCCCTACTAACTTGGTGCATCAAAGGACTTCTTTTGTAAGAGCCTGTGAAAGAGGAGGTACAGTCCACAATCAACCCAGTCCCACCCATAGACCTTTGATAATACTCTGATATCATCACACTACATGCATATCTTTTTTATGGTTTTCTCTCTACCTTTATTATTGTTTGATTTATTGTTTATCAAATTTTAATTCTTTTTTTTACGAGAGAGAACGAGAGAGATTTGATTTACTGTTTATCAAATTTTGATTCCTTTTTTTTTTTATGAGAGAATGGGAGAGAGATTTATGGTAGAAATGAAATAGTTGGTGCTCGCTGTAAAAATAAAAAAAAAAATCAACAGAAGAACTAGAAGCCTAGTCTCAATGAAATACATATTACATGTCTAAAAGTCAGAAAAACCAAAATTAGCAAGGCCGGCCTGGCTGGTATGCATCAGTAGCCAAGTATCGAGTCACATCTCATCACCATAATCTCAAGAATCAAACAAGGGACAAAACTTTCTCTATCCTATACACACAGTCAAATGCAAGTAAGGCATCTTAAATAATATTGTCTACACCCAAAAAACGACGGAGCAAAGTGTCAGAACTAACTCACTGGTCCCTTCCAACACTGAGAATCCACTGAGCAAGATGAGTTAAATATGGCTCGGCTTGAGAACTGCTGCTCAAAATTGGCCCGAGACTCAAGCTCAGAATTAAATTCCCTCTCAAATTTCCTGCAGATTATTCACAGCATATTAATGAGAGAGAGAGTTGCACTAGTGATTTATCCTTACAGATCAGAATCAGTGACTGCTGCATTTTCAGTGGCTAACATCAGTGACTGCTGCATTTTCAGTGGCTAACATCAGTGACTGCTGCATTTTCAGTGGCTAACATCAGTGACTGCTGCATTTTCAGTGGCTAACATCAGTGACTGCTGCATTTTCAGTGGCTAACATCAGTGACTGCTGCATTTTCAGTGGCTAACATCAGTGACTGCTGCATTTTCAGTGGCTAACATCAGTGACTGCTGCATTTTCAGTGGCTAACATCAGTGACTGCTGCATTTTCAGTGGCTAACATCAGTGACTGCTGCATTTTCAGTGGCTAACATCAGTGACTGCTGCATTTTCAGTGGCTAACATCAGTGACTGCTGCATTTTCAGTGGCTAACATCAGTGACTGCTGCATTTTCAGTGGCTAACATCAGTGACTGCTGCATTTTCAGTGGCTAACATCAGTGACTGCTGCATTTTCAGTGGCTAACATCAGTGACTGCTGCATTTTCAGTGGCTAACATCAGTGACTGCTGCATTTTCAGTGGCTAACATCAGTGACTGCTGCATTTTCAGTGGCTAACATCAGTGACTGCTGCATTTTCAGTGGCTAACATCAGTGACTGCTGCATTTTCAGTGGCTAACATCAGTGACTGCTGCATTTTCAGTGGCTAACATCAGTGACTGCTGCATTTTCAGTGGCTAACATCAGTGACTGCTGCATTTTCAGTGGCTAACTTCAGTGACTGCTGCATTTTCAGTGGCTAACTTCAGTGACTGCTGCATTTTCAGTGGCTAACTTCAGTGACTGCTGCATTTTCAGTGGCTAACTTCAGTGACTGCTGCATTTTCAGTGGCTAACTTCAGTGACTGCTGCATTTTCAGTGGCTAACTTCAGTGACTGCTGCATTTTCAGTGGCTAACTTCAGTGACTGCTGCATTTTCAGTGGCTAACTTCAGTGCCTGGAATGTCAATGGATTTAATGATGTTCTATATTACCTTACTTGTTTTCTCCACGTTAATATGTGCTAAGCATACGCTAGCATTCAAATCTCAAAACAGATGAGAAATCCAACACATTTATTATATCTGATCTGACAAATAGTATGTGTTTATTCAGGAACAATTTTTCCTATACAAGTACTATGAACTCCAATCCAATTAAACTCTTGCACAATCAAAAAACACTAAATGACAAGGTTGATCAGACAATTTGCTAATATATGGGAAGTGTTCACAGAAGAACCAACTTAAAGATTAATAAACTCAGGTGAGAGAAATATAGAACAGAGGCCCATGCCTTGAAATGTTAATCCTAGCTTCAGATAATAAAATAAAAAATAAAAAATAAAAATCTGATCTCCAATGCCATGTAATGGAGTGTTTTGACACCTTTTCCACTGCCTTGTCTACTGTTGATTCTGATTCTGTTATAAACCTGAATTAATCTGCTGCTACATGGGAGCAGAATTTTTGTCTGCCAATGGAGTTCTTGTGCTGGGCATGAACTCAACTGTTGTCGAAAGAGAGAGTGGTCCAGTCTTTGACAGCAAATTTGGTGAAACCTGCTGGCGGGGAAAAAGGTACTCCTTAGAGAAGGATGATATATATATGGGGGCTCTGTCATTTTCAGCGAAATTGTCACCAAGGTGGGAATGAGAGCAACCCCTCTTCCCTTCGAGCTCTATCACCACGCCCCTGTTGAGATCAATGACCTCCAAACATCTATTTAAACCATTAACATGATCTCCAAAACTAGGTATGTTTTCTTTTTCGTTGTCATGAAGTGAATGAGGGTCATTCTCAAGAGGGCGCCTGCTGGCCCTTTCATGCTCTTTCGTCATTGGCCTCTTGCTCTCTCCACCCATTTCATTTTTCAATATCCCTTCTGTTCTTTTCCTTTCTGCCTTCAAACTAGAATGCAGGCCTAGTTTTTTTGAATTATGTCCCCCATCAATAACTTTACTAGATCTTGAGCAATTTTCTCTGCACAATTGAGGAGATGTATCAGTCTGACCTTTTGAAGTTTTCCCTGGTAAATTTCTCGAGGTAGCAGACGTGCTGGACAATTTTGGGGAATTTTTATCTAGCTCTTGATTCTGTGCTGCATATCTGCGAATGGCATTCAAAGAAGGATTTATCACTCCATTTTGCACAGAACCAAGCTTTGTATCCCCATTCTCTAGTAAAATTCCAGTAGTCTGAAGTTTATCCGGCCTTTTTCTGTTTGTCACCCCACTGATATTAGGCAAAGCACTCTGCGCTCCAAAATGAAACTGGAAATCTCTACCTACCGTCGACAACATAGCTTTGTCCTGTCAAAGCAGATAAGCTTTACTTGATTGAAATACTGACTTCACAAGGTAATACTCATAACATAGAACTAAACAAATCGGAAGAAAATAAAACTACCTCATCAAAGAGATTCTGTGCTGCATATCTGCGAATGGCATTCAAAGAAGGATTTATCACTCCATTTTGCACAGAACCAAGTTTTGATATTAGGCAAAGCACTCTGCTTCTAGTAGTCTGAAGTTTATCCGGCCTTTTTCTGTTTGTCACCCCACTAATATTAGGCAAAGCACTCTGCGCTCCAAAATGAAACAGGAAATCTCTACCTACCGTCGACAGCGTAGCTTTGTCCTGCCAAAGCAGATAAGCTTTACTTGATTGAAATACTGACTTCACAAGGTAATACTCATAACATAGAACTAAACAAATTGGAAGAAAATAAAACTACCTCATCAAAGAACCCAATCCTTGGTGATGGCATTCGGAGACCCGAAGGTTTGAAATTTCTGGTCGATTTTGCAAGATCATTAGCAGTTCCCCTAACTACTTCAAGACATAGATTTGGAAACCTTGTTTGATGACTTTCTTGATCATCGAAACATTCATCATGTGGGAAACTCTGAAAATTTAATGCTTGGGTGGCTCCTCTGGAAGTACTGGTATGAAAACTGACCTCTAAACAGTTGGAGCTTTGGTTGGCAGTTGATGATGATTCTGAGGACCATCCATCAATGGAGCTAGCAGGTGATTCATAAGAAGAATGGTTTGACATGGACAATGAAGGGGTTGACAAACCAGGATTTTCCAACACAATATTGTCTCCTAGTGAGCACCTGAGAGGAGTCTTGGAGGTTGAACTAGAGGCAACAATACTACTTTTCCTGGAATCTGCTTTTCTTCTTGAGTTTGAGGAAGATTTCAACGACGAAGCACTATTGGTAGTGACAGAAACTGAAGAAGATGATTCGAGGGATGTTGTAGAGCTAGTGGAACATGAGTTTCCCAATCCAGATTTCTTGGATAATATAAAATCTTTCCCTGTAACAGTCAACGCATTTTGACGTAAATTCCATTAGAAGTGGAAGAAAAGAACTTTTAATAAATTATATGAAGGTTCTTACCAGATCCAAGGGTTGCAACTTTATTTCCCATTTTGACATGGTCCGCACCTAAGGAAATCTTTTTTCTTTGTCCTGCTGACGCCATGTTCATCTTGCTTAATATCTTGGGTGACTTATGAGGAAATGAATTAGCTTCACCATTCTTTATAGCATCCTGTATTGATCAAATTAATTTGAGTTAGTTAATTCATATCCTAGAGTTAAGTTTCATTTCCTTACACAATCTTGTGTCTACATATCCAACAAGTTAGACTACCAAATGCTAGACAAAAATTGTAACTTGTAAGTAATAAATAATAATACTCATAACATAGAACTAAACAAATTGGAAGAAAATAAAACTACCTCATCAAAGAACCCAATCCTTGGTGATGGCATTCGGAGACCCGAAGGTTTGAAATTTCTGGTCGATTTTGCAAGATCATTAGCAGTTCCCCTAACTACTTCAAGACATAGATTTGGAAACCTTGTTTGATGACTTTCTTGATCATCGAAACATTCATCATGTGGGAAACTCTGAAAATTTAATGCTTGGGTGGCATCATTTCCTAAACAAGCTCCTCTGGAAGCACTAGTATGAAAACTGACCTCTAAACAGTTGGAGCTTTGGTTGGCATTTTCCTGGAATCTGCTTTTCTTCTCGAGTTTGAGGAAGATTTCAACGACGAAGCACTACCAGATGGAGAACAAGAAGCTGATGAATCATTACTGGTAGTGACAGAAACTGAAGAAGATGATTCAAGGGATGTTGTAGAGCTAGTGGAACAACATGAGTTCCCCAATCCAGATTTCTTGGATACTAAATCTTTTCCTGTAACAGTCAATGCATTTTGATGTAAATTCCATTAGAATTGGAAGAAAGGAACTTTTAAATTATGTGATGGTTCTTACCAGATCCAAGGGTTGCATCTTTATTTCCCATCTTGACATGGTCTGCACCTAAGGAAATCTTTTTTCTTTGTCCTACTGACACCATGTTCTTTTTAGCATCCTGTATTGATCAAATAAATTTGACTCAGTTAATTCATATCCTAGAGTTAAAATTTCATTTCCTTACACACTCTTGTGTCTACATATCCAACATGTTAGACTACCAAATGTTGGACAAACTTGTGATTTGTAAGTAATAAATAATAATGCAGCCTTTCAATTTGAGCAATCGAGATGAACACTTATGCATACTAAATACTAAAAGGAACTATATAATCTCATTTTCTTCGATTTATACATGCCTGGACGATTTGTGGATGGACAACCTCCTTAACTCTTTTTGATCCTTGCATATAGACGATTTGGCTTCTAGAAGTTGGTGTGGATTTCACCTGATATTTAGATACAAGAGAACTTAATTTCTCAATAAATGCTAGAACAATTACAATGAAAGACTACAATCAATAGCACATACCCTATTTCGAGAGATGTCATCAAGTTTCTTCAAGGCTGAAAAGAAGCAACCATAGATATTGAGCATAGATTTGTGATAAACAGATGCATAAAAAGGGAGACCATATAACATTTTTTACAAGACACTAAGGCTAGGTACCAACCTCCTAAACACAAGATATTATGCTTACTAAGCCTAAGAGTAAGAAAAGAATTTAGGACAAGTGAGGTTTCAATATTTCCTGCTGCAACAATAGCGGAAGGCCAATTTAGGACACGTGAGGTTTCAATATTTCTTGCTGCAACAATAGCGAAAGACCTGATTACCCATTAAATCTCTTTGGGATACCTTAAAAGCAATCACATTGCAATTCTCATACAAAATGAACAGGCAAAAATTTCTTCTTCCATTCACAATAAAATTTGTTCTGAATTTGCAATATGCTTATAGTGGGTTTCCCGTTTGTGGGCTTCTCCAACTCCTGATTTGCAAATTGACTTGCAAATATTGGACATTATATTGGATTTCTCAATGGATCCTCTTATTTCTTCAAACAAATCAACCTCAGTGCTTTGGTTGCTGTCCAAGGAGAAGTCATCACCATCTAATGTAGATTCTGAGTCTGCATATCTCCGCGTACACAGATCTTCTTGAGTTACGGGTAATAGGTGAGCTTCAACCTTCTCAAATCCTTTATTTATAATAAACAACTCTTCTGGATCTAGAAGTCCTGATCACACATGAAGCATTAATGACTTCGAATTTTAACTTGCTCTAACCATATGAAATGAGTTAACATTGGCAGAAGGCACCAAATATTTCAGATTTCTTGTAAAAGCATACCTGCACTGGTGAAAAAAGCAGTATCCCAATCTAAACTTTTGCGCAAGTTGCTTGCTCTTCCCAACTCAGTGGATTCATGAAATAAGACCTTTTGTTCCCTTTCCTCGAGTATTTCTACTGCATTTTCAGGTTCACGAGAATCTGTGGTCCCAAACAGCTTGAAACCTTCTTGCTCATCTATTTTCTCCAACACTACTGTGAAAATGAATTCAAGAATAAAATGTTTCAGGCCAATATTGAAAATGGAAGAATGTATCTGTTCAAGTAACTGCAGAATTGTTCCTAATGTTGATGCAGAAACTAAGATCAGTTGGTGGTTTTTCATGCAGCCTAAGCAAATTAGAGTCCTTTAGATATTGATGTGTTAGTTATCAAGAATTAGGAGAGTCAAAGATGATGCAGAACTATGAAATATCTCACAAATAAAATGATATCAGAAATTCAGACCTACCATAAGGGAACTACTGTAAAATATTAAGGTTCTTAAAATTTTGCTCCCATCCCCGAAAGTAACTGAAGAATTAGAAACACAGGTCTATTCTAATGGATTGATTATTAGTCTTAACACTATGATAAACAATAAGACATGAAAATTAGAATTAGAATATAAACATGCCTACATAGGGCAGAGAAATATCATTCACGTACTATATAACCTACAATTAAATTATTACAGAGTATTTCTTCCAATATACTTGTGTTATCTCACATTAAGACATAAGTACAAAGTATTGTATTGGCGGAGATTAGGTGACTAGTTACAATTTATAAAGCATGGCTAGAGGGATACAAGAAAGAGTTATGACACAATATGGATACATCAATACAAATT